CCGAATTTCCTTCCTCATCTACTTCAGGTCTTTGCTTAAATGTCACTATTTGAATGAGGCCTTCCTTGATCTCTACTTCAGTTCTAACTGTCCCAATTCTTCTTTCCTGCTTAATTCTTCTCCACAGCACCTATCATCATAGGAGAGACTCTGTATTGTATTTGTTACTTTTGTTTGTTGTCTCTATCCCCTGACTAGGATAGAGGCAGTATGAGGGCAGAGATTGTTGTCTTTTGTTCACTGCAGTAACGCTAATATCTAGAAAGCAGTGGGTAGACAGACACGTAGTAAATTCTTTTTGAATAAATGGGAAGGAATAGGCTTGGGCGGGGGAGGGCTGGGTTATGCAAATTATCTTTTTATTGACAACCACTGAGTTAAAGTAAGAAGAGGAAAATGCCTATTAAATGTCTATTACAGTCGTAACTGTAGAGACTATGAGGCCCTGAACTTTGGCATTACCCATGAAGAGGGATTCAAGGCCGGGCATGGTGGCTCACGCCTGTAATCCCAGCACTTTGGGAGGCTGAGGCGGGCAGATCACTTGAGGTCAGGAGTTCATGACCAGTCTGGTCAATATGGCGAAACCCCGTCTCTACTAAAAATACAAAATTTAGCCAGGCGTGGTGGCACATGCCTGTAGTTCCAGCTACTCGGGAGGCTGAGACAGGAGAATCGCTTGAACCCAAGAGGCAGAGGTTGCAGGGAGCTGAGATCGAGCCACTGCATTCCAGCCTGGGTGACCCTGTCTCAAAAAAAAAAAAAAAAAAAAAAAGGAAACAGATTCAGATATGTTTAGGAAATCAAATGAAAGTATTAGATGACTTTCTAAGTAAGAGTAGTGAATGTTTCTTAGCTAAAATCCAGAAAAGAACAGACTTAGGAGTAGTAATGAGTTTTGACATATCTTCTTAATAACATGGATCACAATGGTTTAACACAAGTGTGTCTAATCTTTTGGTTTCCCTGGGCCACACCGGAAGAAGAATTGTCTTGGGCCACACATAAAATACACTAATGGTAACTAACAATAGCTGATGAGCTAAAAAAACATCGCAAGAAAAAAAATCTCACAATATTTTAAGAAAGTTTACAAATTTGTGTTGGGCTGCATATAAAGCTATCGTGGGCCGCATGTGGCCTGCAGACCATGGGTTGGACAAGCTTGGTTTAACGTGATCTGTTTGTCTCCCCAGCACCCCCAGTCTCAGCTGCGTCCTTAGATTTCTAATAGCTTTGATATTGTACTTGAAACGTAGTGAATATTTAGCAAATGTTTTTAAATTAAAGATGCTTAGTTTCTATAATCAGAGAGGAAGAGGACTTTTATATATTTTTTACATGATTTAGTTTTTACATGGTATGGTAGGAAAATCAGAATATACAAATGAACCAGTAAATTTTACTGCCAATTAGAAATTACCAAGTGTGGATTCTTAGTTTTTATACTTAATTCTATTCATTTACGTAACAATGCATTTTGGTTGATACAGTGTTTTGTAATTTCAATAAGTTGATTTCTAATGTATCTCCATGTCTTTCTTTAAACATTACATTAACAAAAAGGGACGTTTTAAGCCTAAGAACCATATTTCTCATATTTAATCAGAATTTTCATTTTCTGAATGATGCATTGTATTTTTGGTAGCTAAAAATATCGTTCCAACTTTTTAAAAGTAATAGATTTTACCTTACATATGTCTAACTTACATATGCCTTGCTGACATGTAATACATAACTTTAGTTTTATAATTTTGTATATTTATTTTTTCAGACAATAACAGTTTGGAGGATCAAAATGTTGAGCAACTTGAGGATATGTGCAGTGGGTCATCAGACAATATCCAGTGTGCATATTAATGTAAGCATTTCTTATAAAATTAAATGTCCTTTAACAACCTCAGCTACTTTACTGCCTAAAATGCCCAGTATATCTCATCAGCTGTTGATTCCAGACTTAGTTGAGTCATAACCTTTGGAAATCTTCAAGCCAAACTAATTTGAAAGTAATTACCTTAATTTATTAAGAAATATGAGAGGAAATTACCTTAATTTAAAAGTAAAAGAACAGCTGTAGCTAAATGCTGGTCTCATGGAGTACTAAAATGCCAATTGTTTTTGAAGGAGGGTACAGTTTTATATCTAAGAATGTCATCACTTAATGTACATCTTTAACAGAAAATGTGCTTTGTAATGTTAAGTATCCATAGATTAAGACTCTTATGAAATAAAGTTTCTCTTAATATCGAAGTATAACATAATTGTACAATGGTTGATAAAACTACTTTTGGCTGTCTTCTGCAGAGCTGTTGAAAGCCAACTTCTTGGGCAGTCTGATCTTTGTCCCAGGAACATTGTTTTAGTCTTTAAGCTCTGGTCTGACTCCTGAATCCTCTCCGAAACACTATAAATTATTTTATGAACTATCGCGTCTTCAGTATACTTCAGAGATATTAAACCTCAAACGTAATAATACCCCTTTTATCTAGTGCTAAGTGAAAGATTACTTTAAAGCTTGCTTGGGTTATTTCTTTTTATCTTCAGTGACTTAACAGGGAGTACAATAGTTTCCCCTTATTCATGGTTTTGCTATTAGCTGTTTCAGTTGCTCAAAGTCAACTGTGGTCTGAAAATTAAATGGAAAATTCCAGAAATAATTCATAAGTTTTAAATTGTGTGCCATTCTGAGTATTGTGATGAAATCTCATGACATCTCACTTAATCCCACCTGGGAGGTGAGTCATCCCTTTGCCCAGCATATCCACACTGTATACACTCCCCACCCATGAGTCAGTAGCCATCTGGGTTATCAGATTGTGGTATTGCCGTGCTAGTGTTCAAGTAACCTTTATTTTACTTAATCATAGTCCCAGAGCACAAGAGTAGTGATGCTGGCAATTTGGATATGCCAAAGAGAAGCCATAAAGTGTTCCCTTTAAGTGAAAAGGTGAAAATTCTTGGCTTAATAAGGAAAAAAAAAAGTCATATGCTGAGGTCGCTAAGATCTATGATAGGAATGAATCTTCTATCCGTGAAATTGTGAAGAAAAAGACATTTTTGCTAGTTTTACTGTTGTACTTCAAACTGCAAAAGTTATGGTCACATAACATGATAAGAGGTTAGTTAAGATGGAAAAGCTATTCAATTTGTGGGCAGAAGACATGAACAGAAACATGTTCTGATGGACAGTAATTAGGTTCAGTACTATCAGAGGTTTCAGGCATCCACTGCGGGTCTTGGAATATACCCCCTGTGGATAGGGTATGACTGCTGTAGTAGAGAACCTGTAACCCTAAAAAGCCTTACCATTTGTCTACAGTTTTGTTTGTTTTTTTTTTTTTTTTTTGCTACTTTAAAATCACCTGAGCAGCCTTTTGAAGAAGATATATTTCTATATTCCATTTGTGATCTCATTAAGTGGCACAAGGAGTTACCCAGTTTTTCTTCAGTGCTTTGATTGCTGACACTTTCAGACTATGCACTCTGTGATAGACACTGGGTCTTATCCTAGTCATTATGCAGTGGAAATATTTTCTAAGGATAGTAGCATATTATTTCCAGAAACTCGGTAACTAACCTAGAAATTATATAGATAGCACAGATATGCAGTTCATGAAACAAAAAGCAGATTGTGGTGGCCCTAAATCATTACATACACTAACAATTCCAACTATATTGGCAGCTATTAAATGTGTATCTAGTGGTCTGGGCATAAACTGAGGTGGAGAATATTCAGCCTCTACATGAGAACACGAGAAGGTTAGGTAAGCAGCTAAGATGGGGGAGGTAGGCTTGGCCTTAAGCAGACTTGCTCTAACTTAGTAATTCTCAGTTGAATGCTACATTGAAGACAACCTGGGAACTTTTTAAAATGCCGCTGCCCAGCTCCTCCAGTTCTCCTCTTCTCTCCCCACCCCTGTGTCTTCAAGAAGCTTTCCAGATGATTCTAATGTGTAACTACTCTAATAAATCCTGAAAACAACTAATGGTTTTAGAGCTCATTGCCCCGCACAGACCTTTCAGCAGATGCAGAGGAAAACCAAGGTGTGTCCTGGGTGAGATACCTTATTTAACCTTTCTGACTCGCTCAGCTTCTGACTTTTGGAACTTTAGGGTTATGGTTCTCAAACTATAGCTATCAGAATCACCTGGAGAGCTGGTTTAAACAGATTGGCTGCATCCCCAAGAGTTTCTGATTCTCTTGTCTGGAGTGGAGCCTAAGCATGTGTTTCAAACAAGCCCTCAGCCCATGCTAATGCTGCAGGTTGAGGAGAACCATTGTTTTAAGGTCAGCCCAAAATAGCAAATCAGTATTAATTTTATCCTTATTCTTTCCGCTAGGATATATTTGGGTTGTCACTTTTTAAAAGAATTGGAGTTAATAAATTAGGACTACTTTAAAGCTATACAAAATAGTTTGTCTTCTGACAAAGCACAATTACAATGTTGAAACTGTAGTAAGTGATGCTAAAATAAAATTAATGTCATTTCTTTTTCTCTTTACTAGAATATATGCTGCTATAAAGTAAGAGCAAGTTTAAAAAGGTTAAAGCCACATGTGCCGCTTGGAAGAAATTACAGTTCCCTACCAGGTACAAATTTTAGATTCTTCTAATTTTATCTAAGCTGTTCGCTTTATCTCTTTTCTCTCTCTTGTTTGCAAGAATCTCTCTTATTAGGGTTCTGAAACCATTTTTTACTCCTTGGCTATTTTCTAGAGAGTATTAGGGGTGGGAATGTTCGGATAGGTGCCAGAAGGAAATACTAGTAGAGCTGTGCTCCTCATCTGAGGAACATGCGGATGAGCTGAGCAAAGGAAAGGATGGTGGCTTTAGTAGCTAGTTTGGAAGTTTTAACATGTGAATGTACTTGTAGAGTAGTCTTATGAAAAATTTTTTTCTAGTTTATTTCTTTTTTTTATGCAAGTGTTTTCTGTCAAGAGAGATTTACTAGAATAATTTATTTTGAGGATTGTTATAAGTAGTTTGGTTAAGTATTTGGGATTGTTTAGGTTAGATACATGGCATCAAAAGCTGGAAGGTGGAGGAGTTGACTTACTTTTGAATGTTCTTTCTGTGTTTGAAACAAGCAAGTGTATGGTAGACTCTGTGAAATTAGTTTAATTCTGTTGCTGTTCTCATTACTGTCTTTGTCAAGTGAGAATAATAGAATAAAAATACTGATTGGCTGTTGACTTACAAGGGAGGATTAATTTAATGGGCTACATTGTTGGTGTGTATCTAGGTCTCTGTATTTTGCTCATGTGAATTTGACTGTAGTAGTATAGATTATCTTTTGATCTTCAAACCACTATGAAGTTTCAAAAATAATATAAAATTCTCATTTTTGTATCATGGAAACATGGGAGAAATAGTTTAAATAACAGGAGGGTTTTAATTAAATTTATGAACATAACTGCCTTGTTTCTTTATAATTAGTTCTTAATATTAGTAAACTATATGTTAAGCATAGAATAAGCCATATGGACTTTTTAATTTAAGAAATACTGCTTGGCCTTTCAAAAGTATTAAATTATTACAGCTTCTATTCAGTGAAACCTCCCAGGCTGTCTTTAAAGGTATTGTGTCCTGGGATTGCTGAGGAAGGCAAGTTCCACATTGTGTAATAATTCATTATCAACTGACATAAGGATCACTCTTAGCTCTTCGAACCCTGGAAAAGGCAGGTTTATAGGACTGTGCATTTGAAAATTTTTCTTTGATTCAGGATCAGTGCCTTAAGATTATTATTGTGAGCATTTATTCTAATTCTACAGTTTTGTAAATGGAAGTGAAGTAGGTGGCAGAGATTGGGGTGAATCTGTATTTTTCTAAGGATATGATCTAGAACTTGATGTTTAAAACTTTTACCTTGTTGTATTGTCATCCATAGCTTTCCTTATACATTGCAAGGAAATAAATTTTAGTTTATTTTAGATTTATTTAGCTTGAATTTTACTTTACTTTATTTGGAATTACAGTATTTGCTTAAAGTTATTTTAAAGTCTTTCATTTATAAATTACAGGAAAATTTCATAAATGTAACAGTTCAATTTTAACTTTCTTTTCATTAGGCTTAATAGGAAATGATATCAAATCCCTTCATTCCATCATCAATCCTCCCATAGCTAAGTAAGTACTATCATTGATATCACACTTTTCCATAGACTGTCACGAAAATTTGCAGTTTTTCTCTGATGGACAAGAGTGAATGCTGTAATTTTTATGACTTTCTGCCCTAGCCAATTTTAAATAGATATTGATAATGTATTTTAGCTATTTTTCTCAATTTAATGCTAAAATTTTTTAATGTAACAACAGCACACTTTTCATAGAATGAATATAAGATAGTCTCAGAATTGTAGGTTGTAGTTAGCCCTTTTGTTACTTAGCTATGTTATCAGAGTAATGTGGATATACTCTAAATGTTTTCCATTTTTCTAGTTTTTGCAGTTTTATAAATTATAGAAATACCAGCTTTGAAATTTGAACAGCATATATACTTTGGTTTTACAATTTTAGTAATGTCTACCTTATTTTTTCCTTTTAAACAGAATCCGTAATATTGGAATTATGGCTCATATTGATGCAGGCAAAACTACCACCACAGAAAGAATACTGTACTATTCTGGATATACAAGATCACTGGGAGGTTAGAATGGATTCCTCCTCTTCCCACTCCCCATTAGCAAAAGCATCATTGGAAAATATTTTGATTAAGAAGTCAACCTACACACCTTGAATATGGCATAGAGCTACTGATGTCTAAACCACAACTTAAAGATAAGGTAGTTGCAATATCCACCAAAGGGTCTTCTTAGATTCAACTAGATATTCAGACTTATAAGACTATCATAGGCCCCATTTGACACTTATCTACTCAGAATGCAACAGGACAGGAACCATAGCTTGCCAACAGAGCAGCATTAGGTGTTTCTTTCTAGAAGAGTCCTTATAGCAGTCCCTGTAGCTATCTGGGAGCTATCTTCTTTGGCTGCCCCAGAGTAACAGATTAGGTGCAAGGTGACAAGATTCACAGGAGCCACCCTAGCTTAGAAGATTCATGCCCTATAGGAATGAATATCTCTTGCTATAACTTCATAGGCATAGCTTCCAGGTGCCACATAAGGTACATGCCATAGCCAGGGAAGCTCAGAGTTCTGTATCTCCATAAGGTACTTATATATATAATTCATTTGTAGTTCTTCGCAATTCAGATTTAGTTTACCAATCAGAAGTTATTTTTCCCATAAGATATATTGCCTAGGAATGTAGTTGACATACCTCTGTTATCTGGTTTCTAGAAGAAAAGAACCAAAAAAGGTAACCAGAAGTTAAATTCTCATGTCAAAGAGGAGAGGATTTTGTTAATCCTTAACCTAGTTGTCTTTTGTTTTTTTAATTGTGGTTAAAAAAACATAAAATTTACCATCTTAACTATTTCTAAGTGTACAGTTCAGTAGTGTTAAATATATTCACGTTATTGTGCAACCAGTCTTCAAAATGTTTTCATGTTACAAAATTGAAATTCTATACCCATTAAACAACTCCCATTTTCCCCTCTCCCCAGTCCCTTGCAACTACCCTTCTACTTTTTCTTCCTGACTTTGACTACTCTAGGTACCTCATATAAGTGGAATCGTAAGTATTTGTCTTTCTATGACAGGTTTATTTCACATAGCACAATGTCCTCAGGGTTCATCTATGTTGTAGCATGTGTCAAGATTCCTTTTTAATTTTTTAATTTTTTTTTTAGAGACAGGATCTTGCTCTGTTGCCCAGGCTGGAGTGCAGTGGCCCAGTCACAACTCACTGCAGCCTTGAACTCTTGGGCACAAGAGATCCTCCTGCCTCAGCCTCCTAAGTAGCTGGGACTACAGGCAGGTGCTACCACACTTGGCTAACTTTTGTATTTTTGGTAGAGACAGGGCCTCAGTATGTTGCTCAGGCTAGTCTCAAACTGGGCTCAAGTGAAGATTCCTTTTATAAGGCTGAATAATATTCCATGTGTTTTTATTTATTTACTTCAAACTATTGCAGTTTACTGTAACGAGAAGGAAATCAAGCTTTACAGTAATTATAGTCACTAAGCTGAAAAATCACCTACAAAAGTCATGGCAATAACTTATTTACAGTTAAAAAGGAGAATATCAAGACCTTGCTCTCATAGTAAGATAAACTAGACATGTACACAATCTTATGATGTCAAGAAACTGAATATATAAAAATATAACCCACATAGAATGTTTTCTCTCTTTTTTATATACACACATTTTCTCTGTGATTGCCCTTAAGTTTATGTCCTTATCGTAACTGGTTTATTATATTTATAATTAAAGATAATTAGTCTATAATTAGACTTCATATTCTAAAAAGCAACTAGGTTAACAATTTTCTCCCCTAAGGCTTATTTTATTTTATTTTTTATTTCAATTGGCTTCTGGAGAACAGGTGGTTGGTTACATGAATAAGTTCTTTAGTGGCGGTTTCTGATATTTTGGTGCACCCGTTACCCAAGTAGTATACACTGTACCTAATGTGTAGTCTTTTATCCCTCACTCCCCTCCCGCCCTTTCCCCTGAGTCCCCAAAGTTCATTGTATCATGCTAATGCCTTTGCATCCTCATAGCTTAGCTCCCACTTATGAGTGAGAACAAATGATGTTGGTTTTCCATTCCTGAGTTACTAAGAATAGTGGCCTCCAATTCCATCCAGGTAACATATACATATTTCTTTTGCTGTGTGGAAGCTTTTTTGTTTAGTTAAGTCCTGTCTACTTACCTTTGTTTTTGTTGCATTTGCTTTTGGGTTCTTGGTCATGAAGTCTTTGCCTAAGCCAATGTCTAGAAGGGTTTTTCCAATGATCTTTTCTAGAATTTTTATGGTTTCAGGTCTTAGATTTAAGTCTTTGATCCATCTTGAGTTGATTTTTGTATAAGGTGAGAGATGAGGATCCAGTTTCTTTCTTCTACATGTGGCTTGCCAATTATGCCAGCACAATTTGTTGAATAGGGTGTCCTTTCCCCACTTTATGTTTTTGCTTGCTTTGTTGAAGATCAATTGGCTGTAAGTATTTGGCTTTACTTCTGGGTTCTCTGTTCTATTTTATTGGACTGTGTGCCATTTTTACTTTTTTAGACAGAATCTCGCTCTGTTGCCCAGGGTGGAGTGCAGTGGTGCAGTCTCAGTTCACTGTAGCCTCTGCCTCCTGGGCTCAAGCAATTCTCCTGCCTCAGCCTCCGAAGTAGCTGGGACTATGGGTGCCCACCACCATGCCCAGCTATTTTTTTGAATTTTATTTTTAGTAGAGATGGGGTTTCACCATGTTGGCCAGGCTGGTCTCAAACTCCTGACCTCAAGTGATCTGCCCGCCTCGGCCTCCCAAAGTGCTGGGATTATAGGTGTGAGCCGCCATGCCTGGCCCTATGTGCCTGTTTTTATGCCAGTACCATGCTGTTTTGGTGACTATGGCCTTGTAGTATAGTTTGAAGTTTGGTAATGTGATGCCTCCAGATTTGTTGTTTTTGCTTAGTCTTGCATTAGCTATGCAGACTCTTTTGGTTCCATATGAATTTTAGGATTTTTTTTTCTACTTCTGTGAAAAATGGTGGTATTTCGATGGGAATTGCATTGAATTTGTAGATTTCTTTTGGTAGTATGGTCATTTTCACAATATTGATTGTACCCATCCGTGAGCATGGGATGTGTTTCTATTTGTGTCATCTATGATTTCTTGCAACCGTATTTTGTAGTTTTCCTTGTAGAGGACTTTTATCTCCTTTGTTAGGTATATTCCTAAGTATTTTATTTTTATTTTTTTGCAGCTATTGTAAAAGGGGTTAAGTTGTTGATTTGACTCTCAGCTTGGTTGCTCTTGGTATATAGCAAGGCTACTGATTTGTGTACGTTAATTTTGTATCCTGAAACTTTGCTGAATTTATTTACCAGTTCTAGGAGCTTTTTGGATGAGTCTTTAGGGTTTTCTAGGTATATGTTCATATCATCAGCAAACAGTGACAGTTTCACTTCCTGTTTACCTATTTGGATGCCCTTTATTTCTTTCTCTTGCATGATTGCTCTGGCTAGGCCTTCCAGTACTATGTTGAACAGAAGTGGTGAAAGTGGGCCTTCTTGCCTTGTTCCAGTTCTCCGGGGGAATGCTTTCAACTTTTCCCTATTCAGTGTAATGTTGGTTGTGGGTTTGTTGTAGATGGCTTTCGTTACCTTAAAGTATGATGTCCCTTCTGTGCCAATTTTGCGGAGAGTTTTACTCATAGAGGGATGCCGGATTTTGTCAAATGCTTTTTCTGAGTCTATTGAGATGATCATGTGATTTTTGTTTTTAATTCTGTTTATATGGTGTATCACATTTATTGACTTGCAGATGTTAAACTATCCCTGCATTCCTGGTATGAAACCTACTTGATCATGGTGGATCATCTTTTTGGTATGCTGTTGGATTCAGTTAGCTAGCATTTTGTTGAGTATGTTTGCTTCTATGTTCATCAGGGATATTGGTCTGTAGTTTTCCTTTTTTTGTTGTGTCTTTTCCTGCTTTTGGTATTAGGGTGATGCTGGCTTCTTAGAATGATTTAGGGAGGATTCCCTCTTTATCTGTGGAATAGCATCAATAGAATTGGTGCCAATTCTTTGAATGTCTGATAGAATTCAGCTGCAAATCCATCTGGTCCTAGACTTTTTTTGTTGGCAACTTGTTAATTACCATTTCCTTCTCACTGTTACTGGTCTGTTCAGAGTTTCTATTTCTTCCTGGTTTAATCTGGGAGGATTGTATATTTCCAGGAATTTATCCATCTCCTCTAGGTTTTCTAGTTTATGTGTGTAAAGGTGTTCATAGTAGCTTTGAATGATCTTTTGTATTTCTGTGGTATCAGTTGTAATATCCCCTGTTTTGTTTCTAATTGAACTTATTCGGATATTTTCTGTTCTTGATTAATCTCACTGTCTATCAATTTTATTTATCTTTTCAAACAACCAGCTTTTCGTTTCACTTTTGTATTTTTTGTTTGTTTTAATTTCGTTTAGTTCTGTGCTGATCTTGGTTATTTCAATTCTGCTGGGTTTGGGTTTGGTTTGTTATTGTTTCTCTAGTTCCTTGAGGTTTGACCTTAGAATGTCTGTCTGTGCTCTTTCAGACTTTTTGATGTAGGCATTTAATGCAATGAACTTTTCTCTTAGCTCCACTTTTGCTGTACCCTAGAGGTTTTGATAGGTTGCGTCACTATTATTGTTTAGTTCAAATAATTTTTTAATTTCCATTTTGATTTCATTGTTGACCCAGTGATCATTTGGGAGCAGGTTATTTAATTCCATGTATTTCCATGGTTTTGAGGGTTCTTTTTGGAGTTGATTTCCAGTCTTATTTCACTATGATCTGGGGGAGTACTTGATATAATTTTGATTTTCTTAAATTTATTGAGACTTGTTTTGTAGCCCGTCATGTGGTCTATCTTGGAGAATGTTCTACATGCTGATGAATAGAATATATATTCTTCAGTTGTTGGGAAGAATGTTCTATAAATATTTGTTAAGTCTGTTTGTTCTAGGATATAGTTTAAGTCCATTGTTTCTTTTTTTGTTTTTGAGATGGAGTCTGGCTGTGTCATCCAGCTTGGAGTGAAATGGTGCGATCTCGGCTCACTGCAACCTCCACCTCCCAAGTTCAAGCGATTCCCCTACCTCAGCCTCCCAAGTAGCTGGGATTATAGGCACCCACCATCATGCCTGGCTAATTTTTGTATGTTTTAGTAGACACAGGGTTTCACTGTGTTGGCCAGGCTGGTCTTGAACTCCTGACCCGGGTAATCCACGTGCCTCAGCCTCCCAAAGTGCTGAGATGACACGCATGAGCCACTGCGCCTGGCCAGTCCATTGTTTCTTTATTGACTTTTTGTCTTGATGACCTGTCTAGTGCTGTTAGTAGAGTATTAAAGTCCCCCACTATTACTGTGTTGCTGTCTGTCTCATTTCTTAGGTCTAGTAGTAATTATTTTATAAATTTGGGAACTGCAATGTTTTTATGTGCATATATATTTAGGATTGTGGCATTTTCCTGTTGGACTAGTCTTTTTATCATTGTATAATATCGCTCTTTGTCTTTTTTAACTGCTGCTGCTTTAAAGTTTGTTTTGTCTGATACAAGAACAGTTATTCCTGCTCACTTTTGGTGTCCATTAGCATGGAATATCTTTTTCCCCCCTTTACCTTAAGTTTATGTGAGTCTTTATGTATTAGGTGAGTCTCTTGAAGACAGCAGATACTTGGTGAACTCTTATCCCTTCTGCCATTCTTTGTCTTTTAAGTGGAACGTTTAGGTCACAATGTTAGTATTGAGATGTGAGGTTACTATTGTCACTATTTGTTGCCTGAATACCTTCTTTTTTTTTTATAGGTTCTGTGAGATTTATGCTTTAAGGAGGTTCTATTTTGGTGTATTTCGAGGATTTGTTTCAGGATTTAGAGCTCCTCTTAGTAGTTCTTGTAGTGCTGGCTTGCTAGTGGTGAATTCTCTCAGCATTTGGTTGTCTGAAAAAGACTGTATCTTTCCTTCATTTATGAAATTTAGTTTCTCTGGATACAAAATTCTTGGCTGGTAATTGTTTTGTTTAAAGAGGCTAAGATAGGACCCCAATTCCTACTAGCTGGTAGGATTTCTGCTAAGAAATCTGCTGTTAATCTGATAGGTTTTCCTTTATAGGTTACCTGGTGCTTTTTCCCTACAGCTCTTAAAATTGTTTCCTGTCTTGACTTTAGGTAACCTGATGACTGTGTGCCTAAACGATGGTCTTTTTGTGATGAATTTCCTAGGTGTTCTTTGAGCTTCTGGTATTCGGATGTCTAGATCTCTAGCAAGGCCAGGGAGGTTTGCCTTGATTATTTCCTCAAATATATTTTCCAAACTTTTAGATTTCTCTTCTTTCTTGGAAACACCAGTTATTCTTAGGTTTGGTCGTTTCGCATACTCCCAAACTTCTTAGAGGCTTTGTTCATTTTTTAAAAATTCTTTTTTCTTTGTCAGGTTGGGTTAATTCAAAAGCCTTGTCTTTGAACTCTGAAATTGTTTCTTCTTTTTTTGAGATGGAGTCTTGCTCTGTCACACAGGCTAAACTGCAGTGGTGCAATCTTAGCTCACTGCAACCTCCACCTTCCGAGTTCAAGCAATTCTCCTGCCTCAGCCTCTCGAGTAGCTGGGATTATAGGCACCCACCATCATGCTTGACTAATTTTTGTATCTTTGTAGAGACAGGATTTCACCATGTTGGCCAGGCGGGTCTTGAACTCCTGACCACACGTGATCTGCCTGCCTTGGCCTCCCAAAGTGCTGGCATTACAGGCGTAAGCCACCGCACCTGGCCTTTGAAGTTGTTTCTTCTACTTTCTTAATTCTATTGCTGAGACTTTCCAGTGTATTTTGCATTTGTCTAAGTGTATCCTTCATTTCCAGAAGTTGTGATTGTTTATTTATGCTGGCTATTTCTCTGGAGATTTTTCCGTTCATATCCTGTAATATTTAAACAATTTTTTTTTTTTTTGAGACGGAGTCTCGCTCTGTCGCCCAGGCTGGAG